TTGCCAGCCAACTGCTTTTCGTTGATCCAAATCAGTAGCAACTGCTTCTTCCAATGTCTGAGATCTTTGCTTGGTGATCACAGTCGCTCCTTTGGCAACCTTAGCTCCTTTTATTGCTTCCTTGTTCCTAATGATGGTACGAATCGTCGACTTCGCTAAGCCGTACCGCAACGAAAGATCTGAAACACGAGCGCCGTTCTCGTGCTTTCGTATAATCTTTCTTTACTTCTGTTGTTCTTCCCACTATTTTTCTTTCAGCCTTTCCGCTTTCACCATCTTTTATAGGTCCCATGGTGATGGAATATAAAAAAAAAAAAAATAGAAGAAATAGCGCAACGCAAGAAATCAGAAAATGGTTCTTAGCGTGTATATCCAGATCGTGGGCTGAGGCAAGCAGACGCCACGCACTCAGTCACTCAGTGATCACCTGCTGCCTGCCTGATTGTGTTACCTTGTTCGGCAACCAAGTTAGGGTACGACAACCGGGGCAACTTTTGGTTCCAAATTTGATTTGTGAACCGAACTGTTCGAAAAAGGGAGGCATTCGACAACCGAGGTTTCCACTATATATACCAGAGGTGGGGCCAAGTCATTGCTTTGCAAGTCACAAGCAAGTCTCAAGTCTTTGCACTCAAGTCCGAATCAAGTCTCAAGTCCCAAGTCCTGCCGTTTCTGTTTCGAGTCCTTTCGAGTCCTTCCACTCACTGCCACTCGTTTTTTGTTTCATTTTCTCTCACATCTAAATCCGAACAACACGATCTTTGGTATCATTTTCTCTCACCCGCGCGCTGTTCGACAGCTCTTTCTCATTGGTTGTCCCGCAAGTTGATTGGCTCCATATTATCGCGTCAAAACAACGTGGGTCTAATTTGATTGGATGTTGTGCCGACAGAACATACACACACAGACGCACACATGTACACAATGAGAGATACAGAGCGCTCCTCAATAACTTACTTTATAATCTTCGGGTTTCGGAGAAAGTCTCAAGTCTTGTCGAGTCAAAGGGCTCGAGTCCAAGTGAAGTCACGAGTCATTGATGTTAAAGTCCAAGTCGAGTTCCAAGTCTCTTTACATTTTGTCAAGTCGAGTCTAAAGTCATCAAATTGATGACTCGAGTCTGACTCGAGTCCAAGTCATGAGACTCGAGTCCACACCTCTGGACAATACTAATCTACTACTACTAACCTACTAACCTACTAATATCCACTGTTCAGGTTTTCTATATTCTTTGATGGTGCGCTGCTACTCCTGTTTGACTCTTTATTCACTCTATTTCTCTATTCATTCTTGACTCTGTTCTAGTGCATTCCTGTCGTTTTAGTGCCGTAGCACTGCCTTCAGCCTTATTTTCCCGAAGGGAACTCCAGCGGGATTAATAAGGTTCTACCAATTTATCATCTGTCTGCTAATGTTAAAATTGAATTTGCTTCTGAATTACCAGGATTTATGTAGTCGTTCAAGCGCTAGTTTCCTATTTGTATTTTTTAGTTCATTTGGCATTCTGCTTCAGTGTCTGCTTTACATTTTGAAGGAAAGGTTAACATTTCAGAAGCGCCCACACTGCTAAACGATGCCCATACCTCACAGTGATTACTGTGTCTGCGCCGGGTACAGAAACCCCCCCCCCACTCACAGCACTGTTTACATTTCTGTTCAAACATGAATAAAACAAAGAGGATAATTCATGATAATTAGACAGTTTTAGAGGTGATACTAAATCTATCTTTAACTGCAGTCAGACCTGTGATCTGTGGCTTGACTCTCTGCAAGCCTATGGCTAACGCTAAGCTAAAGTTTTACCTTTACGTTAGTTTGGATTTTTGGGCGCATGCTCTCGCTTTTTTTTTTTTTGTGAGTACAGTTTGATTTTTACGTGTGCAAAATTAAGTTAACTATAGATACTATCATCTACTTACAGTTAAAACGCTTGCCTTTAGTGGAGAGCAGTTAGTCCTGGGTTGGATTCCCAGAGGAACCACATACTCGGTGCTTGCAGGTGGTATCGTGGTGCAGCAGATCTGCTGTTAACACAAGAATTTCCCAAGTGTGCGATCAATAAAGTTCAAATCATTTATAATTATTATTGCTTACCGTAACTTCCGGATATTGAGCGCACCTGAATATGGGCCGCACCCACTAAATTTAAAAAGAAAAAAATAATTCTTCTTCTCAATAAGCCACAGTTGTCCCTCGTTGTAACATGGGATATTTTCACAGAAAGATTTTTTTTTCACTTTTAATGTAATAAATGTTTTTTTCCGAACAGTGCCTGTAACACGGCTGGTTGGCACTAAGTTAGACTTAGTGATCTACTCCAGAGCTCAAGCTAACATTAGCTCCGGGGCTAACACTAAGTTAGGCTTAGTGATCTACTCCAGATCCGAAGCACATATGCACATATCCGCATATAGCCATTCACAGACAGACATACGCTACTAGTATAACACACAGTAGCCTACCAGAAAAGTCATTGATCGCTAGCAACAACAGAACATAAAAGTTTCTTACAGCTCCTGTAGAACCAACATGACAGGGCTCAAAATGCTCTCGACATTCGCTGCCGTTCTGTCTCTCACGCATGCCCCACGCACATATCCGCATATAGCCATTCACAGACAGACATACGCTACTAGTATAACACACAGTAGCCTACCAGAAAAGTCATTGATCGCTAGCGGTATGAACTTTGTTAGCCTGTAAAAATCCATAAATTAGCTGCATCGTTGTTTAAGCCGCAGAGTTGCAGAGTGTGTAAAAAAAGTAGTGGCTTATAGTCCGGAAATTACGGTAATGTAATCTTTGATATATGCTGTTGAGCTTCCAGATATTGAAACTGCTAATAAAAACTAAAAAGTTCAGCTGTGACGTCGATTTAGTACACACCTTATTTATTGCTAGGTTATAACTATTTTAGAGCTCCTTCAGATTTAGACTTCTCCACTCCAGATGGAAGGCTCACAGATACAAGGTCTAAGTCAGCAGATTTTCCCCAGAGCATTACCAGTTGGAACATTTTGCTTGTCCAAAATCAGAACATCACAGCACTGCCTGCCTGTGCGAATGTCACTGTGGACGACAGTTCCTTGTTAAGGACAGGACAGGAAGGCAGAAGCTCAGGCTTGTCAAGGTTCATTTCCAGGTGTTTGGCAGAAATCCAACCGGAGATTTAAGTTTGATAATCGGTGACATGTTATACCTAAACCAATGTGTCAGTGCTGGCAGTCAGAAGATGAGTCACTGTAAGTGTCAGAGCAATCGTTGGTTAGAATTGTAGAAGGTGGTGAGTGACAGTCGAAAAAGTTTAGTGTCAGTTTGTAGAACCTTTACATTTGAGTTTTAACTTATTGTTTCTGGAACCTTTAGGTTTGTTTTTTTTTTTTTGGCATAATTTATTTGTTAATGCATTTTCTCTAATTTACTGACCGTATTTTCTGGACTATACGTCGCACTTTTTTTTTCATTATTTGGCTCATTTGCATGTTTGTTATTTTCACACTGACAGCCGCTAGAGGGCACTGCTGCGACTTATACTCCGGAGTGACTTATATATGTTTCTTTTCATCTGCATTATGCATTTTTTGGCTGGTCGGACTAATACTCCGGAGTGACTTACAGTCCGAAAAATATGGTCCAAAATTTAATTTGACACCAATTTCTTGAACATTTCCATGTATGGCTCTCATTTAGTCTTGAAGTAGAAAGTAAAATACATGCGTATGCATACAATGATCCCTCTCTTTCGCATAAAATGATTTCTGGACCCTCCCTCCCTCTTTCCAAAAGTTCCCCATTTTGCACAATACCAGATTAACCACCTCATGTTTGGAATTTATTGGCATCATTTTTGTGTACTTATCGTATTTTCCGGACTATAAGTCGCACTTTTTTTCATCCTTTGGCTGGGGTTTGCGACTTAAACTCAGATTGACAGCCACTAGAGGGCACCCGTTTTATCCTTTGGGTGGTGCAACTTATACTCCGGGGCGACTTATAGTCCAGAAAATACGGTAATTTATCACAAATATCTTGTGCCTTTTTTTTTTTCTTAGCCTAACGTTGATTAAATTGTTAACAAGGAAAAGGCAGTGCCACCAGACTATTCATATTTTCTTTTAAGGTTATTTCCAAATATAGATGATAAAGTATGGATCAGGGAAGGTCATGTCACGAAACAGATAATCCCTGTGAGCATGATCCCTTATCAGCATGTAGCTGGGGGCAGATGTGGGGGGGGTGCTTCTGGCAGAATTACACATACTCACCTGGGAAAAAGAGATGGCGCACTAGAGATGAAAACCTCAAACATCAATAATCCCTTTATTTTCCAAGTATGTGACAGAGTGTGGGAGAATGCGGGGGAGAGTATGACATGAGCGTTGTTATGCCAGCAGCACAGATATGCTGTACGTGGCTGTGGCGGAGAAGTTTCACGTCAAAACACATTTTATTAATCCGATAACTTGTTCTTAACACGTTCTCTGAAGTCGCGTTGATTTATTCGCCTCACGACTACGAGGGTGATGCAGTATTTACTGTAGTGCCTTAGAAAAACCATATTAAATCAGATTAAAAAGTAAGGCAATATATATATATATATATATATGTGTGTGTGTGGGTTTGTAGAGTTATAGATTAGTAAATCAGTAACAACCACTTAAAGGAAAAGTTCAGTTATAGCAGTTATTACTGTGGCTGATTAAATGGAGGCGCACTCATCACAAATGCGCATCTGAGATGTATTTAAAATAAACTAATGGAAGTTCGGAAAATGAAAAAAATAAATCAGTTGATCCTTTGACTGAGAGGGAATAATGAAAAAAATATATTCAAAGTGAAATATAGTACGAGGCCTGTAGTAATAACCTGTGACGGACTGTTATGCAGTAAAGACTCTAACGCTGTTAGATTTGATTAAAGTTTGTCTTGATCAACCCAAGGCTTGTGTTTAAAACCCGGGCCTGGCTGTGATCACATCTGTGTCCCTCTGTTCTCCACAGGAAAAGAATGCCTGATGCCAGAGGGGACAAGTGATCTACATCAAAGAAGAAACTTAAAAACCGAGGAGTGAAAGCGCCACCTAACACTTCCACCACTGGCTGCACTGTGGCCACAGATTTGATGTGAAAAAAGCAAAAAAAAAAAAAAAAAAAACGGTCCAACAACTCCCAGTTCAAATGGTGCCGCAGGAACTTCCGCCCTGTCAGCCCCACTTCATGAAGTAAGTTTGAACCACAATGTATGTTTTTGACATCACTGTGGTCAAAATATTTTTTTTTCAAAAACCAATTACAACAAACCAAACATATTTTAACATGACCGTTGTTTTTTAGCAGCATAATTTAGTATTTTTTTATTTTACATACTGTAAATCCTGTTTTTAAAACAACAGGTAATGGTAATTCCTTATACAATGGAAAAGGGCAAAACAAACAGCCATCATCGAGTCATCAATTTGATGACTTTAGACTCGACTTGACAAAATGTAAAGAGACTTGCAACTCGACTTGGGCTTTAACATCAATGACTCGTGACTTCACTTGGACTCGAGCCCTTTGACTTGACAAGACTTGATACTTTCTCCAAAACCCAAAGTGATCTGTGTAAATATATTATTATTTTATTTAAAAGGACTCGAAACAGAAACGTAAGGACTTGGCACTTGACTTGACACTTTTTCAGTCTTGACTTGGACTCAACTCGGACTTTGCCTGTCTTGACTTGAGACTTGACTCGGACTTGAGTGCAAAGACTTGAGACTTACTTATGACTTGGTCCCACCTCTGCGCAGCATGGTCAAATTCAATCTTTGAAATTTGCAAATCTGCAAATAATACACAACAAGCTAAATAATACTGAATGAAATCCTGCCTTATGTCTATGTTTAAATGTCTGGCATTTTTATTTTTACAAATAGCTTTTTCAGTCATAAGCTCTCCCGGGGATAGCTAGTATGAAATGAGTGAGACGACCGTCTTGACTCCTGTTTGTTCCTTGGCAGTGATTAAATAAAAGATAAATGAAGTCATTAGACACTGAACACTTATCAATGGTTAAATGGTGAGCAATAAAGCTCAATTATTCCCTCATTTTCTCCATTTGGGCACAAGCCCAGAGAAAGATATCACTGAAGGTTGCTCTAAAACAAAGTACACATTAGCAAAATATACTAACTCTATAACGGCGACTGGTCAAGTGCTGTCGGTGGGACTGCGTTTTATGTGGATTCATGAAAACAACACAGGTTTTAATCCTTGAAAATAAGATCTCGGAGTGACGTCGGCAGTGGCAAAACGGCCAATTTCGCAGAGGCAATCTTCTTTTACAAAAAAAAAGAAGTAATAATCTATAATAGATTGTGTTTATATAGATATTGTTGTGTTTTTTTTTTGTTGTTGTTTGGATAAAAGCATCATTTACTCTTTTTCAGCCACACAAACAAACACAATAAGAAAATGTTAAACCTAAATTGAGAAGTCCTATTTCCTTTGTGCCTAACTCCTTAAACAAGAACATTTCGAACGAAAGAAAAATAGCGTAATTTCCAGTCTGTAAGCCGCTGTTCTTTCCACACACTTTGAACCCTTCGGCTTAAACAGTGATGCGGCTAGTTTATGGATTTTTATGGACTAACAAAGTACATACCACTAGCGTAAGCGTGAGTTGGTTATACAGGAGCTGTTAAAACTCTGTTTATGTTCTGTTGTGGTCGGTGTGACTGATAATAAAGACCCCAACTTCCCTGTTTCTGTTTACCTCTGCTGTGGACAAGCACAAAATGAAGGGAGTTAGCCCCGGAGCTAATGTTAGCTTCGGCCCTGGAGCGGATCACTAAGTCTCCCCTGTGCATTCCAACTACGCTAGGGCCTTGAAACAGGAAACAGCTAACGTGTAACCAGCTGTATTACAAGCACTGTTTGGAAAAAAAAAATTATTTAATTGAAAGTGAAAAAAAAAAAAATTGGTGTAAATATCCCATGTTACAACTGTGGCTTATAGAGAAGTGCGGCTTATATATGTACAATTATATTTTTAATTTAGTGGGTGCGGCTTATATTCAGGTGCGCACCATAGTCCGTAAATTACGGTAATGGCTTTTTATTTTTATTATAATGATGGTAATTCATTTGAAGCTCTATTTCATGCAGCGATCACTGTAGATTTTAACTTGCTTGTTTGAGTGATTTTTTTTTTTTTGTCTTTGTATTGTAAATTTGTAACATTCTCCTTGAGCATTCTTAGAAGTGGAATCAAAAAATATGCCCGCATGATCGGCCCTGACCAGTGACCGATCAGTCCTCGGTTTTCCATGAGTTCTTTGTCGGGCAAAAAGGAGAGGAATCTCGCACAGATGGGTGCAAAGGAACCCATTTTCAGTTCCTAATTCCAGTCACTTAGCGCTTTATTTTGAAAGTTGTTGAACTGAAGAAAGAACCTGTGACTGAGTGTAGCTTGCGGGAATGGTTTTGTTATTACTTGCTATGAGAATAAAAAGACTTTCCCGAAGCCTTAAGTAGCTAGTTAAGAACCTAGACTTGGAACAAACAGTCGTCAATCTCAAATTTGTTTTTTTTTTCAACATGGCATCTCTCGCTTGGGGATTGTTGTGTTTTCATTGGAGCTCGATTAATTAGGATATTAATTTCACGCACTGTAATACTGCAGACCAAACAATAACCCCAATAAAACAGAAAGACAGAAGGAGAGCAGCAGGATTAAGATGGAACTATAAGACGGAAACTGCTGAGATTTTCATTTAAACTGACCAGGATAGATGTGATTTTAAAGAAAAGGGCGGGGAAGGAAGGAAGGGCTAAGGTTGAACAGTTTGGAAAGAAAGACCAAAAAGATGGAATTGAAATGTTAGATGTGTGCTAGTACATTCTGGGTAATATTACGTTACTGTATATTTACATAGTTAGACATAGGCCAGCAACATACTGTACTGATATACAGACAGAAAAAAAAGACTTTCTGACTGTATGTATGTATTTCTTTTAGGACACATAAACAAGAATCTATTTATAGTAGAAACTAAAATAAAAGAGTTGATTTCAATTTTAAAATTCACTCTAAAATGGCGATTCCATTCTATTTAAATGGTTATTATAGTAGCTGTCAGCTTTGTCCTATGATAAAAGTCTAATTATTTCAGCCATGGGTCGGAGACATAAGGGATATATTTTTCTTTAGTTTCATACTACAGTGCAAAAACATGCAGAATTTGGTTAACACTTCTCCTTTAAATGACCATGGATATAAGTGTGGGCGAGAATGTATTCTTGTCCTGTGATGGACGGGAGAACTGTCACTTTTCTCCGCCCTCGCCTGACGACTGCTGGAAAAAAACACCAGCTTTCCATTACCCTGAAAGTGATTGTGGTTTAAGGAGGAACATGAATAAATGAAAGCATTAGGAATTGGTTGTAGGAAGTTTTGGGTCTACAATTGTACTGTATACTATATATACTTGTATATATATTCAGGATTTTTGTATATATATTCAGACTTTCTTTATATATATCCAGACTTTTTATATATATATATTCAGACTTTCTGTATATATATTCAGATTAATTTCCTGAACGGTATGCTATTTTATACGTATATATATACGTATATATATACCATATTTTCCGAACTATAAGCCGCTACTTTTTTCCCGCACCTTGAACCATGCGGCTTATACAAAGATGCGGCTTTTTTATGGATTTTTCTTCAGCCACCAGGGGGCGTTTTAGCAGATAAACGAGACAGACAGGGGAAGTCAGTGCTAAGATGAACATGCTAGGTTTTGGGTAGCTGGATATTGCTGGCTTATAGTCTGGTGCGGCTTATATATGTAAATTTATAGTTTTTTAAAACAAAATTAGTTGGTGCGGCTTATATTCAGATGCACTCTATGGTCCGGAAAATACAGTATATAGATATATATACACATACATACCTACATATATGTACGTATATACCGTATATATAAATATACATATATTTGTATATGTATGTATGCATACATATATATGGCAAACACAAACAAATATATTCAAACTAGTAGTAGTAGCGAGTAATTGACTATCATTAATCCTGCATTTAAAATATCTATTCTCATGCATAGCAGGGTCTTTTTTTTATTATTATTAAGCAGAAAACATCTGTTACATTATTTTCCTGAAGAAATTCTATTTGTCTGTCAGCAGAGGTGTCTTGGATACAGAGAGGTTTCAGGTATTGATGTTATCTTTCTGGTTTTCTCTGTAGACTCTTTGATGTTGGATTTAGTTTTTCTTCCTTGAAAGCACAGCATTCTCTCCTTGCTCAGCTGCCTTGGCCTCGCACTACCTTTGTTGATATTCTCGATGAAAAGCTCGTCAAGATTCAATTTGAATTCATCCAATTAAGCTAACCAACCTGCTTTTTCCTTTTACTTAAAAATACAAGACAAAAATGATTCAGTTCACCAAAGAGCAGCATGACTCACTGACTTAAGGGGTTTATTCAGTCTGGCCTGACCTAAAATATACTTACCGTACTATTGTACAAATGAACAATTTCCCCCGTGTGGAGCTCAAGTTGAAGACCTGCAACAAGATTAGTGTAAGAATGGTCTTAAAACTAGCCTTTTATTTTTCATAAATTGAATGTAATGACACTCAGTCTGTGTTTGAAGTGAAGAACTCCGAACAAAAGAAACAAGTCATCTTAATTAAGACAGTTGTGTCGCAACAAGGGTGCATTGTATATACAACGGGGGAAATAAGTATTGAACGCATGAACTTTTTTGTCATTACATTTATTTCCAAAGATGCAATTCATGTGACATTTCTTCCAGACACTGGTATTAACTTAAATAATCCACACATAAAAAGAAATCACAACATTCAAATCCATAAATAGTGATTATGTGGAATTAAGTGCAATAACACAGGAAAAAAGTATTGAACACACCATGGGAAAGCTGTATAGTTTGGCAAGGAAAGGCACCATACCATCTCAAAGCTGAAAGTAATTAGTCTTTGTACTTCCTATAAGTGCAAACCAACATCAGCTGGGTTAATGCTAATTGATGGCCCTATAAACAGGTTGTTTTTTCACCAAGTAGTCAAACAAGACACATCTCATGATGGGTAAAAGCAAGGAGCTCTCTCAAGACCTTCGCAACCTGATTGTTGCTCAGCATCACAATGGAACTGGTTACAGACTTATCTCAAAGCATCTGAGTAT